TGATTATTTAAAAATCAAGCACAGTTTCCACCTCAAACCTCAAATGAAATAGATATATTGTAGTAGCATAAAGCAAAAAAAGACAAAACTTCATTTAATTTTTAATTGTCAATCTGTGAATGAATCAGAGAGACCCTCAAATCTGTGTTTCCTACATAGAAAAGTCTTTATTTATCACACAAACTATGTTAATTTTTAGATAAAATTATTTTTTGAGATTAATTTTATTCATACATAAATAATATCATCATGTGGCACAAAAAGAATAATACAATTTTTGTGTAATGGTTGACAATTGGCAATTTTTTGTGACATTTTGCACCAAAATTTACTATTAAATATGCAGATCTTTCTCTGATTCATTCATGTATCACCAATTAAAAAAAAATCATGATAAAAATTGTCACCATTTAGCTGGTGAATTTTGTGGACAATGCAGAGGAATTGCCAGAAAAGAATTGGTATAAATTACTGGACAACCAAGGGACATTAGTATTAGAAAAAGAGCATTGGAAAACCTTAGATCTGATACAGGATTTACCGGAAACAGGCATAAGATGCCATCAACAAATTCTTCTAGAACTATAAAGTCTGTTGCCAGCATGTCAAAAGATATTGGAAAAATTATATTAATGACCAATTAAAATGAATGTAATAATTATTTGAAGCTGAATGGAACTAGTCACTAAACAAGAGAAAACTAATGGGATACATTCAAGAGCCCATACAGACTCAGCCATTATCAATTGTATTTTATATTGAGGCCTTTCTTCACTATTATCATCAATTTGCTTCCAGATATTTATTGATTACACAAGGAAATTAATTAAAATGGTCTTATGCAAAACAAAACTGTATGATGAAAGTAATCTTAAACATGTTCATCATAATAACATCTGAGATGAATTCTAATGCTCTGCCAATAGATGTTCTAGAGTTAGCAACTAACAACATACCTGCCAGAGATTTACAAAGATTTATCACTAAATTTAGAGATGATAAAAGCTGTATAATTCAAAAACAACTTCACATTTAATCATTGTGATTGTAATTAAAAACAGTCATTAGACCTGACTAAAGTGATTATTGCTTGGTGTTATTCTAATTTGCATCAATGCA